GGATTCCGACTGAGTTGGTGAGCGGGTTGGGCGACATTTGTTATATCCGTTACCCGTTGACTTGATTCTGTATCTCGAGATACAGGTCGCTGAAGTGTACCACATCGTGTTGCGCGAGCGTCAACGCGAAACTGATTCTCCGACTCAACCTGGGACCCTAGATCATCACACCTGATCAGTGGAGAAAAGAAGTTAGACGTCTCTATTGAAATTGTGTTACTTTCTCCTTCTATAAGGTCAGATCTTTCATAGGCATTAGGTTTTTTTCCAATACTATTTGTAGGTTTGACTTTCTGTTTACTCTCTTGACCTTTTGCCAATTTAGTTATTTGTTGTTCAATGTTCTGCGAGCGATTGTTTGTTTCCTGCAATACGTCGTCCATCCTTTGTATTTCTTCCTCTAACGATTTCATCTTTTGAGTCACCAGTTTGACAGAATTTTTTACAACTTGACACACCATTCAGTTGATTGTTGTCTATTCTATTCGATATCGCTAGGAAATCCGTTATATTTTCAGCCACAGTTTTTACTTCCTTGTTGAAGTTGAACATTTTCTTTTCAGTGTTGGTTTTGAAGGTATTGTTTTTGACAATTTCTTCGTTAAGTGTGTTCATATGATACCAAAGTTGTTTTTGTCTTTTGCCTATACTTTCTGCTGTTTTTTATTTTGGTCATGCGATTCACAAAGTTCTTTCTCCAATTTTGTTTCGCGAATTTTGCATGAACTTAGTTCTTCCTGCGTTTTTATTGCATGTGTTTTCGCTTTTTCTTTTTCTTTCCCTAGTTTCTGTAGCGATGCCTTCAGTAATTTTATTTCATTTTCGTTTTCTGTGATTTCATGTTTCATTGAGTTCATTGAGTTTAATGCATGTCTATGTTCACATTTCATATCGTTAATGTCCACCTGAACTTTTACAAGTAGTTCTTTTAGAATTTTGAAACCCTCGTTAGTATCTGGTTGTCTCGATATTTCGAGGCGGTCATAGCGATTTTTGTGAAAGTATCTCTAGTATGTTGTCAATATATCCCGGTGCCTGTATAGGCGCCAATGTACATGAAATAGAGGTTATTATTTTGCAATGCCTCCGACAGATGTCGAACCCGGGACCTCTGGCTTACTAGTCTTATACTCTACTGAAGGGGCAAAAGAGAAATTCTCCCTAGCCGAGTCGGTTGGTGCAACTAGTAATTTACCATGTTGACATGCACATATCTCACCGTTATAGCAACACAAAATTAATAACTCAACGTCACGCCGAAACACTGAAGCAGGGACAATAGCTCTGTTTAACAGCTAATGCGTTGTAATTCAACACACTTGATATATCTTGTCACTTCGTAAATTATTCAGATTTATTCTACAATTTGTTTTTAAAATGTCAGTGAATGTTATAGGCTCTTCGGTTACTATTGTATTTAACACGAAAACGACAGGCATCGGATAAATATATCGAACTCTATACCTTGATACTCGCTCGGCACACACATATTCAATGTTAGTGTTTCTCTGTAGATGCAGTAGATTTGCCATTGAATAGACCACCTGTATAATTACCTGAATCGATTACATTGTATTCCAGGGGATCATTGCAATTCTTGTGAAAGTAACTCTTGTATTTTGTCAATATATCCCGGGCCCCTACATGGGCCGCCAATGTACATGAAATGAAGTTTTTTTATTTTCGAATGTGTCCGTTAGGAGTCGAACCTGGGACCTCTGGCTTACTAGTCTTACGCTCTACCGAAGGGGCTAAAGAGAAATTCTCCCTAGCCAAGTCGTTAGGTAGTAGCTAGTTATTTACAATGTTCACCGTTATACCAACATAACATAAACAACCCATGAAAGTCACGCCGAAATACCGAATGAGGGGCATAGCTCTGTGTAACAGCTAAAGCGTTGTAATTTAACACACTTGATATTTTATGTCTTCCTAAATTATTTAGAGATTTATTTTACAATTTGTTGTAAAGATTTTCAGTGAATTGGATTGGTTTCTTTTGTATTTTTAACGAATACGACAAGCATCGGATAAACATACCGAACTCTCTACCTTCATACTCGCTCGGCACACAAACAATCAGTGTTTATGTTTCTCTTTAGATGCGATATATTTGACATTTAATAGACCCATTATACAATTACATGAATCTACTACATTGCATAACGCCATACCAGATTAATAACCACATATCGAAACACGAGTAATACAGTTTTAGCATAAATAATCAAATTAAATTGTATTGCCTGTTGCAATCAAGTAATCATTTGTAAAATGAACAGTCATTACCCTCGTTACTTGCAAACAACAAATGTACATTGAACATAAATGAACAAAACTTAGTAACCTTTGATGAATGAACACTACAACGTATATACACAAGAAATCAGTAAATTTATAGATTCTGATCATGACGAGAAAAGCAATATAACAGCTGCCAGTAAATAAATACAGTTGTGTGACCACACAACGCACCATAAATACCGTGCGCACAACGTGCATACATCGTTCACACACCGTCAGCACATCGTCCACACATGGTGCGCACAACTGGGCGATTTAACAATCGTTCGCCCCGTTGTGCGCTTCTCTCCGCACAACTGTGCGATTTGGTACAATTTGTTGATCAATATTACGGAATGAAAAAAATACGGAAGGCTCGTATGCAATAATGTACACTGTATTTATTATTGTCATTTCTCATCACAATACTTAACAGTATGTACAATTTTGCAATGCATGTAACACAGTATTACAGTGACCGTTAGGTTGTCAAGAATGTATTTGGCTCTTAGCTAGGTTACAAAACAGGTAAATAACAATTTGCTGAGTGACCGGAGTTTTACCTGGCCTGTGCCTGACGGGTAGAGATGATCCGTGATACCGTGTACCGTTATGAAAACACAACTGGACGTTTAATATTTGTTATTTGCATTCGTTTTAATCTAAAGCGCCCCTTCACCTGGTTTTTACACCTTGGCGTGTTACGTAAGTGCCCCGGGCGGGGATAACTACGGTCCAGGTACAAAGTGGCTATGTTTACCTGTGTTGCCGAGACTATATTGTAATTTTACATGTGTCGATTAAGGTCGTTTAAAAAACACCGAAAACGCCATTTCTAAATTTTAGGAAAGTATAGACAGAAAGATAAGCTGGTAGATGATGCTAGAATAGGGAAACATACTAAAAAATTCAAGTATATATGTTTCAACACCAAACCGTATATATTATTAAGCCATTCCTCAATTCACACAGACCATGATTGTTATCGCACAACGTTCGTCGATCGTCCGGACAAATGTGCGCAAGCAATGATCGTCCAAGTTTTTATCGTTCGCACTTCGTGCACAAATCGTGCGCACACCGCACATCGTGTAACGTTGTGCGATCCCACAACTGTATGTTTACTGAGTGGCATATGTAATAGATTATATCATTGTTTGCGTGAATGAATATCACTTCATTTGAAATGTTTAAAATCAATTAAATAAGATATGAGACAAAATTTAAATGTGTTTATGCTAAAAAAAAAGATCACTACCGACATACGATTACGTGTTGGATGATATGGCAATGTTCAAAGTCTATATCTAATAAACATAGATTGTATCCCGACCGTAGTAGTAGTAGTGCTTAAGAAATCAGAAGGTTTATAAGAAGCTAGTGGCTGTTCTCTATAAAGGCAGGAGTGGGATGTTGCACAAGCAATGCTACTTAAAATTCATTAAACGCTACATGTAAGATACGAAAATAATAGTAAGGATGGAAAATATGTCGACATCATCTGAGGCGTCGACGTAGTTTATGAATATGTCGCCGAAACAATTCTTGATAAATTGATACATATTTGCATTTTCCGAAATAATTTTGCTGTGTAAATAGTCGGGAGTGAAATCGACTTACCATTAAGAAATCTAGAGAATATTACCGACATATGGAACCTTAATCGGTGTTCATAGTTTGTAAATCTAATTCATATTCGTTATTTCTACTCCTCGTGCTAAAAGAAATTTAGAAGACGATTTTTAGTTACTATTTTTTTCATTTCATATTAATAAGAGGCAAGTCGATGTCATTACCGAACATTTACACGAATACATAAAAACAAATAAAGATGTTGTAGTCATGAAACTATTGCAGTCATGAAACCAACCACTTTTCCCTTATCATGGGCCATGGAAAATATAGAGGATCTTACATGAGTATCCATGTCATATTGAATTAATTAAACGAGTTGAAATGGACACGAATGTTAACAGTCTGAAAAACAACCTAAATAATAACTCTGTATAGGTCAAACCAAAGTATTCCGATCATCTCGTTACTTGCAAACAAAAATGCACATTGAACAGAAATGAATAAAACTAAGTAACATATGATGAATGAACACTACAACGTATATACTAGAAATCAGTAAATTTGTAGATACTGATCATGACGAAGAAAGCGAATATAACAGCAGCCAGTAAATTAATATGTTTACAACTCAACCACTTTTCCCTTATCATCGGCCATGGAAAATGTAGAGGATCTTACATGAGTATCCATGTCATATTGAATTAATTAAACGAGTTCAATAATTGTATTGTAATGATTTAAATAAATTCAGCATGAAATTGACACGAATGTAAGATTCTATTTATCACATAACGTTAATAGTTTAAAAAAATATCTATCACAATTGTGTGTTATCAGATAACTTGTCGTTCCGCGCAGTGCAAAGTAGTTCACAGTTTTTTTTTAAAAAAATAATTATTTAATACAAGTAGTACCTGTAGAGGCGTAGGAATATGTTCGCACGGTTTTAACCAATCGCAAAACCCCTAGATTGTATCACACGTATGTAATACCATATGTATGACATGGCCGTATGATAAAGTAAAATGGGTCATATAGGTGGTAAAAATGATTTGAATGGTCGATAACAATGTATCGGGGACATATTTTAATAAAGTTTACTGTTTTTGTTTCAGATGTTTGCGTCTCGGCAAATGTCGAAGATGATGATCACAGCAGTAATCCTTTGGTTCAACGCATTTGGGACAGGTATCTTTACTGTTACCTATTTGTCTTAAATGTTCCCCGTATATCTATACTATTACCCGTAAGTCTATACTATTACCCGTATACTATTACCCCTACGTCTATATTATAACCAGGGTCATTGACGTCATTACAATTGCCATCCGGGCTTCATATGCAAATGAAAAATTTGCGGACAGTTTACAACTTCACTAGAACAGCAGCTGTTTTTACGGGTTTAAGGTATAAGCAAGAAATAGAATCCATCCCTGATGTTTTGATTTAAACATATTTTTATTTGCATCTAATATACAAAAGAGATAAGGCACAAGTTGTTAAATTTTTGTAAAGCCCTTTCCCAATAACATAATGAAATATATATATTTTGGCAATTCTTAAATTAATTAATATTTTCAATCAAGTCTAGTCTCGGGATAAAATATTGAGCAAAATACCCTCGGTAAAGCCTCAGGTCTCCTACTCAATATTTTATTCCTTGGGTTTGAAATCTTATCCATACCTTACATCATGAATGGAATATATTAGTCTATGTTATTCCCCGTATGTCCCTACTATTACCCGTATGTCTATACTATTATCCGTATGCCTATTCTATTACCTTTATGTTATTAATATTACCCGTATGTCCATACTATCAACCTTTTGTATGTATAATAGTATAGACACACGGGTAATAGCAGATTCATACGGGTAATAGTATAGACATACGGGTAATAATATAGAAATACGGGTAATAGTATTAACATACGGGTAATAGTATAGACATAAGGGTAATGGTATAGATATACGGGCAATAGTATAGACACACGGGTAATAGTATAAACATACGGGTAATAGTATATACATAAGGGTAATAGTATATACCTACGGGTAATAGTATAGACATAAAGGTAATAGTAGACACACAGGTAATAGTATAGACACACAGGTAATAGTATAGACATACTGGTAATAGTATAGAAGTATAGACATACGGGTAATAGTATAGACATACGGGTAATTATATAGAAATACGGGTAATAGTATTAACATACGGGTAATAGTATAGGCATAAGGGTAATAGTATAGAAATACGGGCAATAGTATAGACACACGGGTAATAGTATATACATAAGGGTAATAGTATATACCTACGGGTAATAGTATATACATAAGGGTAATAGTATATACCTATGGGTAATAGTATAGACATAAAGGTAATTGTAGACACACAGGTAATAGTATAGACACACAGGTAATAGTATAGACATATGGGTAATAATATAGACATAAGGGTAATAGTATATACATACGGGCAATATTATAGTCATACGGGTAATATTATAGACATACGGGTAAAAGTATAGACATACGGGTAACGGTATAAACACACGGGTAATATTATAGACAAACGGGTGATATTATGGACATACAAATGTACGGGTAATATGATAGACGTAAGGGTAATAATAAAGACATACGGGTAATAATATAGACATACGGGTAATATCATGGATATACGTATATATTCACTCGTGCGCGGAACAAGTGTGTAATCTTGCATATTTATTACATCATGTATAACTTGAGGAATGGAAATATGTTTCTAAAGCATGTCAGATATATATGTTATTGTTTGTTTATGGCATGGTGTGTGTCTACAATGGAAATATTGTCATCAATACGATACTCTATATATTAGTTAATGCACTTGTATAGATACAATTAATGTTCAGTTCGCGTTCTAGCATTTAAACATAAAAAAATACCAACCAAAGTATGTCAAACATATATTTCTCATCCGAGAAATTCTCATCAATGGGGCTAGGTTGTAAATATTGTAAAGAACCAAAAATATGTATTTTCAATTGTATCGATTTCATTAATCAGATTTTCCTTTAAAAACAACAACTTGGTTATCCTTAAATAGTTGACATAAGAAAATGACTATACCGGCAATATGCGTCCGGCAAAAATATATAATTAAAAAGTTAAAGGGGGTATTATGTCAGAGGCTGTAGGTTTGGGACATCAATATTGAAGAGCTTTAAAATAAGCTATATCATTGGAACACATTTGTTTATACATACCACGTCCAACCATATATAACAATCTTATTAAAAAAAGCTTCAATACATTTACAAGAATGTAATGTTTTGACTCATATTGCATCAAAACGTAGCTTTTTTAAGGAATCTTGTGCCACTGATAAAAACTGTTACTATGATTTGGAAAAAAAATTACCAACAGAAAAATAGTTTTGATCCTTCTTTTCAAAACATTGATACAATGTTTAACTACGAGTTGGAAACATTCATACCAGCATGGAAATACTTTAATAAATCATTTTAAAGAAATCATTTGGATCCTTAAATTGAGCAAAAACATATTCCGTTCTTTTATTACCATTAAAACTAAATCCAAGTACATCCATCTTAACAAGGCAGCTTTTTTGTAAATATATTGTATATAATTTACCTCTAAATATTCTTTAAGTCACTGGATATGAAATACTTGTCGATAGGCTTTCATAAACTGTTTTAATCAACCTTATCCTGCATGCAAAGAGCACGAATTTAATATAATCAATCTACAAAGTCTGAATCTGCTTAAAAACATTGAGGGTGTAACCAAATGTTCCAGATTCAATAACACTGAAATGCTCAAAAAGCTAGGCATGAATCTCATTTAAAAAGCGATGAATTTTAAATCGTCGACAAATAATGTCACTGTAAAAATCAAAACTGTCATGGTGTGGAATTTTTCATGATTGCTGCAGTAACCCCTGTACCGGATAGATATTTTGTGACAATATCTTTGACAATATACTTTAGAAGCATACATTAATAATAAAATAACAAGCACCAAAAGGACATTCTTTTGACAATAGCATGTTAATCAAGAATTGCATTCTTTGTATTTAGATATGATAAATTTGATTTTTTTTTAATAAAAAAAAAAAAAACTGTGTCATTAAAAAAAACATTACATGTTGGTTCACATCAATGCCTCCCAATTTGTATTTTGAGATTCGCTGTGATATATAATTTTGCTACAGTGTGTGAACATTCCATATAAACAAAAGGGTCATACATTCATAATTTTAATTATCACAAATAAGATATTTTTCCTGACTTTGCAGTACCAGAACAGACACCTGCAGGATTCCGGGACAGTTCCTATCCCCCACCACGTACGTACAAGCCGTTCTTCTGTTTCTGAATGAGTAAACATACTATCATAGTAACTAATCACTTCAGACACATTGAGCTTTATTTATTGAAAATTGTAAGTTCGTTGTGGAGTTCATGGTTAATGTGGAGTTCTCTGTTAGTATGTGCTGCGATTGTAGACTGGTATATAAAGTATGCAACTAAGTAGACATATATGTAATATTAATCAGTTTACCCGTTTACAAGGATAACGGTTGTCTGCTTCCTATATGATCCCGTGCCTGTTACACATACTGTAGATGTCTATTAAACAAACAAAAAATAAACAATAACTTATCATAAAATTACATTTAAAAAGCAATCACCTGTGTTAATTATTGTTTTATTTTAGACAAAAAACATAGTGGGAAGTCTTAATTCAAACTTAGAATTGATAACACGTTTAAACAAAGGAAATAATTGCATGGGGACCCTGTGAAAAATAAAAAGGATAATATGAGAATATGCTCTGAAAGGGAAAGCATTTTCTGTTTCGTCGACGTCACCTACCATGTAACTCGTGGCTTAAGTCCCAGTAATGCCATGTTGTCGAAGCGAGAACCACGGCTGTGACAACGAGACTACGTGGCACACTTATGTGTATAATCAAAAGCATCGACCTTCGTTGTTTTTCAGGTTGTTTGTTAGACATTGTTAAAAGTATTGAAATATGAATTAAAAAAAGAAATATGACTGATTAAATATGAATTAAAAACCGTTGATCAGAATCATATCCATATTGATGACAAAAAGACCTTGTATTTATTGTATGGTATGAGCACTATATGTAAGACTACCATTGTAGCTAATAGCCTCGTTGCACGTTAAGTCATACAAGTAATGCGTAATATCAATCTTGCTTGAACTAGTTAATTTCATTTCAAATCAATTTTATCTGTAAGTTTGGCACAGGCATTGCCTATTGAAGCCGATTCAAGATGGGAGGAAATGCATTTCAGAAATTAATATATACAGTATGTACACAGTATGTATACAGCAGATGTAATATATGTTCAGGTATATAGCTTAAAATAAAATTCAGTTAACTAAGATATTGATATAGATTAAACACAGATTAAACATTTGATTGTCTTAACGGTGTTTGGTGATCTAGAAAAAAAAAGGTCAATTAGTCTGTTATACTGTTTTCTTGACTTCAAATGTTTTTCTATTGTGTACATATTTTTTAATCATAAGTTTCAGATTACTAATACAGTGTAGCGCACTGGTTAGTTATAAACAAAAACTTGATGCTATTTTCAGATTGTGCCTTGTCAAAGGTTGATCTCATCATCATCCTAGACGCCTCCGGCAGTGTAGGAAAAGAAAACTACGATAAAATGCTGGCTTTCTGTAAAGATTTCTTGAGGAACGCCGAAATTGATTCCGGTAACGTACGCGTGGGTGCCTTGATCTATAGTTCCAGGGTAGAAGTTCAGTTCAATCTTAGTTCATATTCAACTAGAACGGAAGTGAACCAGGCTATCGATGAGATCCCCTACATTTCCGGGAGTACCAATACGGCTGACGCACTGATGACGATGAGGAACATGTTCAACCCCAACGACGGGGATCGTGATGGTGTTCCGAACATCTGTATCATCTTAACAGACGGTGAATCCAGCATCAATTCCCAGAGAACCGTCCCGGAAGCCGACAAGGCAAGAGATGAAGAGATCCACATCTACGCTATAGGTATCGGTCTGAGGGATACCAAAGAGTTAGACGGAATCGCCAACAAACCAGCATCGGATAACAGCTTCAACGTGCAGACCTTTGAAGAGCTCAATGCTCTCAGTGACCAGGTCTTCTCATCTCTCTGTCCAGGTAAGTAACGAAAGGAATGACTAGAATTTCATAAAAATAGAACAATTTATCCACAAGTAAATATGTCCAGGTAACTGAACTATTTATTTCAAAAGATTTAATATTTTTATATAGATATGCAAAAGAAATATTTATGCCAGTGAACAGAATTTGTTATTGCTGTTGCTAACCTGTCAAACAATTTGAGAAGCCTACATCAAATATGTATTTTGTCTATTTATTAATAATATATATACTTTTAAATTATGCTTAAAAAAGTAATTTTACGTTAATTAATTTAGCACACTGTGTCTCTGTGAGTCGTTTGAAGTTGTTTGGCAAGTATTACTAGGGTTAGGGTAAGCTGATCTTATATAGCTTATCTATCAAATAATTACTCATACTGATAATTGAGCAAAGTCTTAATTGTACAACGTTCCTCTGACTAATTATCAGTTCTGATAGATCTATAAATTGTATGGGATGTAATTGCCTACAATTTGTATCTTTAACAAAACATATTTGCCACAATCAGAGACTTCTGCACACATATTTTATTATGAATACCAAGTCCAAATAAGATAGTAAGCTGACAGGATTACACTATCGATGTTTCATGGGTGGACTGGCTGGATTATCAACACTATAGTCAATCTTTTTAGTTTTCTTCTGTTGAGTTGTATCATTGCATCTACAAAACCAGGGTAGCACACTGAACATCATAAAGTAATGTTCGTTCGGCACTTCGTATGCGTATTCACCGTCTTTGTGTAGTCATGACGATTGTTGGGTGTTTACGACTGTTGTTTTTGTTGTATGACCGCTGTGTTTGTATGTACGACCGTTATTTGTGGATTTTCAATCATTTTGAGTATTTACGACCGTTGTCTATGTATAGACGATGTATTTACGATCATCGTTGGTACATTAATGACGGAATGTTTTGCAACCGTTGTTTTTATTTATTGGGATATTTTTTATGAACTTGATAATTCATCAATTCAAATCAAAATTAACTACACTTTAATAAATCAACAACAAAAAACTAAGTTCCATCACAACAACTTCCTTGGCAAACTGTAAAAAATTAACAACCGTGATTACAATAGGTTGCCGGTATTAATGTACAAAAACAGTACACTCGGTTTACATAGTAACCTATGTTACAGCCCGATATATGTACCAAGTAATAACCGTCTACAACAATACACACACGTAATACACAAGTTCCCGTTTCCACCATACAGCTCACTTGACTAGTCTTGAGTAATTCTAAAGTTCCAGTTTTAACCTTAAGTTCATGTTTCAATAATAACTGCATACACTGTGTTAATTAACAGTAAACTGTGTAATGGTAAAGGTTATTCCTTCAGTTCCCTCGAGGTGATAATGCAAACATACAAAGTTCAGGGCCATACATATATGTCCTGATGAAGAATTTAGGCCACACAGTAATTTCACGTATGATAATACAGGATACTAGTGAAATAGCTCAGAGTTCCAAGATATCATAATAGCCTTAGTATAAAGATGTAGAATTTACAACACAATCTAGAGTTCCAAGTTCATGACTTTACTGGTTTAACACAGTCATCTGAAGCACTGACATTATAGAGTTGCACAGGGGGTACAACGACAACATATGCTGCCATGGGCGGTTGTGTGAAGTTCCGTGTGTCTAACTGGGACGAGTACCGGTGTACTGCTGAACAGCCTGACGAAGGTCAAGGTCATCTACCGTGATGTAGTTATATCCACCCCATCCCTAATGCCTGTCTCTCTCAGCTACAGTACATCTTCATCCATTAACATCCTGGTCAGCCTCTCTCTGTACGCTGTCGGTACGACAAATTGCTAATGTAAACTGCCGTTATCCACACACTCCCGGTATAGCATTCCATTCGTACCACAAAACTGGTTTCCTCTCCATTTTTAGACACTTTAGTGGTTCCCTCCTTCACCATGTCACATATTGCCTTAACGGTTTCATCATTAGGTTTCTCCTCTATCATTTCTGTTTTCCCCCCCAGGTCCTTAAGGGGTATAGGTACCTTCAGAGGTTTGGTGTGCTCTTTCTCTCGCAATGCCTTAGCTCGCGTCTGTACTGCTGTGATAACAAACTCATTTTCCTTACCCTCAATTAACAATGGACTTCCGGGTTCTCTGGCTCCCTTTATGTTACCTATAATAATGTCATAAATTGGAGTCTCCATCAGCCACGCTGTACATGTTCCAGTAAAATATGGCGACTCTAAATATATCTCTGCCTGTGGTACTGTTATCTCGGACCCGTCCGCCAATCTACAACTCAATACTTTCTAGCCAGTTTTCTTTATCCAGCAAGCTCCGTCGTACCACTACTCCACTGCACCCAGGGTCCCTGAGTATAGTGACTAACTGACTACCTATGTGTCCCTTCACTGTTGGCATGGTAATTTCCACTTCCGCTACGTCCACAGAGTCCTGTTAATCCACACTGCCAACCTTAGACTGCTTTTTAGGTTTTGGACATTTAGCTGCAATGTGTCCGTTCTCATTACAATTAAAACACTTGCGAGTGTCAAACTGAAAATTCCCACTTCGCTCGGTACCTGTAGTGTTACCACGATTCCGATCATTGTGGTTCCCCGATCTATTGCTGCCCTGTTGTCCTGGTTTTGTGGCCCCTGTGTTGTGTTTCTGCATAAACGACTTTGCCAGCTGTCCTCTAGCCTCAACAAACTGATCACCAAACTTCGCCATTTCCCCCATAGTCGTTGGCTTCCTTTCTCTCAGAAATATGGCTAATTCCGGGTTACAGACCGTCATTACCTGTTCCCGTACCACCAAGTCTTTTAGTCCCTGAAAAGTTTGTGGACACTTCGCCATTTCTGTCCAACGTTGAAAGTAGTTCTCCAGTCGTGTCGTGAACTGTGAGAATATCTCCTGTCCTTCGACTTTCCCATTCCGAAATCTGTTCCGGAAACCATCCTCTGTATGATCAAACCTCTGGAGTAATGACTTCTTAAGCTTACCATAATCTAATGCGTCTTCAGATTTAAGACGTGAAAACACCCCCAAGGCTTTTCCTTTGATCATCGTGCTAAGTGCTACGGACCATCTGTCCTCTGACCAGCCTTGTAGCCTAGCAAAAGTTTCGAAACGTCTGAGGTACGCACCCAGGTCATCTTTTCCCTCTTTAAAGGGAGGTAATTTGGGGTTATACTTCCCAAGTCCCATTCTGGATCTTCCTCCTTCAGGATCCTCATGACCCTCTGTCTGACCCTGTTCCTGCTGAAGCTTCAATAGTTCCACTGCTCTGGCATGAGCCTCCTGAGCTTCCTTATTACGTGCATGTAATAATTCTACCTCAAGCTGTTTCATCTTATGTTCCTGTGCGAGCTGTCTCTCCTCACGTTCAATTGCCCTTTCTTCGCGAGCCCTGTCCTGCTGGTCTTTGATGAACCACCAGAGTTCTTCCCCTTCCATACCTAGCTTCGCTCCTGCAGCCATCAACTTCTCAATTGGGTCCATAGCTTTTGATTACTGCTAATATTTTCAAAATCATATACATAATGGACCTTTCTCCTGATCAGGATATTATAGATGTACAAACATATTTACTTATTCCTATGCTGATCATATAAATTGAATTTATTATGCAATAAAAATTAAAAAAAATCAACATCACACATCACAGTCATCCATTAAGTACTTAAATGATGATTACCTGAATCCTTTCTTTACCGATACATTCGACATTGGCATCCCACCGCTGCCACCAAGTTGTCACGATGCCTTCACGGTCTTGTGTATGGAAAAACTCCAAATCAGGATAACTCATCAATTCAAATTAAAATAAACTACACTTTCATAAATCAACAAAAAAAAACAAAAAAAAAACATCCAAACAACTGCCTTGACAAACCGGAAAAAAACAACCGTGATTACAATAGGTTGCCGGTATTAAGGTACAAAAACAGTACACTCGGTTTACATAGTAACCTATGTTACAGCCCGATATATGTACCAAGTAATAACCGTCTACAACAATACACACACGTAATACACAAGTTCCCGTTTCCACCATACAGCTCACTTGACTAGTCTTCAATAATTCTAAAGTTCCAGTTCTAGCCCAAAATTCATGTTTCAATAATAACTGCATTCACTGTAATAATTAACAGTAATCACTGTGTAATGGTAAAATTCCAAATTTAGGCCACACAGTAATTTTACGTATGATAATACAGGATACTAGTGAAATAGTTTGGAGTTCCAAGATATCATCATAGCCTTAGTATAAACATGTAGAATTTACAACACAGTCTAGGATTTCAAGTCCCTGACTTTACTGATTTAACACAGTCATCTGAAGCACTGACATTATAGAGTTGCACAGGAGGTACAACGACAACATATGCTGCCATGGGCGGTTGTGTGAAGTTCCGTGTGTCTAACTGGGACGAGTACCGGTGTACTGCTGAACAGCCTGACGAAGGTCAAGGTCCTCTACCGTGATGTAGTTATATCCACCCCATCCCTAATGCATGTCTCTATCAGCTACAGTCCATCTTTATCCATTAACATCCTGGTCAGGCGTCCCACCAGAGGCCTAGCCCATGACCGATGGTGCCCTTACGTTGCACATTAGCTCGAATTTTCCCCACAATCTCACGAACACCACCTCCCTGGCTAATGTCGCCTCAGTTCTCCGTGCGGTTGACAGTTACGTCACGAGAACCCGTATGTTAGGTAATAACCGCGGGAAAACACAGCGCGGTAAAGTAAAACGCTCTTATTTCTGTTTCACACAAAACTATCTTATAAATCTTGTCATACCTTGACAATGTATGTCTTTGTGTGTTGTGGACTTACGTCAGGGTTTGTCCGCCCAGAAGAACCGAGAACTGTTACTCAAACAACTACAAAGGGAGGTAAACGATAATGTGTTTATGTATGCATTTTAATAAAAAAAAATCATTCTAAGACAAACGTGATGTATTGCGAAATTGTTTAAACTGAATTTGAAAAAAAAAAAATTAAAAACATATTCAATGTAAGAAGTACTGTTCCCCGGAATGTCCAGTAGAAAGGATATTTGGTTGTTATGTGATTTAGCAAAATTTCACGTTTTACCAAGCAGTCACCTGTGTTTAATATTGTTTTATTTTTTATACAGCTACTACTTCAATTCCAATAACAGTACCTCCGCCATCAGGTAAGAACAATTATATGATTAAGCGATAGACAAAAACATAGTGTCAAGTCTTAATTCAAACTTAGAATTGATAAAACGTTTAAACAAAGGAAAGAAATACATGGGGACCATGTGAAAAATAACAAGGATAATATGAGAATATGCTCTGAAAGGGAAAGCATTTTCTGTTAATTCGACGTCACCTACCATGTAACTCGTGGCTTAAGTCCCAGTAATGCCATGTTGTCGAAGCCAGAACCACGGCTGTGACAACGAGACTACAGGGTCGACAATTTAAGTGTTTGTTATTTTATCGACAAAAAACATAGCAGAGTATAACCTGTGTGTGCTGTTGGGTTTAATGCAGACCAAACACGATAATATAATCAAAAGCATCGACCTTCGTTGTTTTTCAGTTTGTATGTTAGACATTGTTAAAAGTATTGAAATATGAATTAAAAAAAGAAATATGACTAATTAAATATGAATTAAAAACCGTTGATCAGAATCATATCCATATTGATTACAAAAAGACCTTGTATTTATTGTATGGTATGAGCACTATATGTAAGACTACCATTGTAGCTAATAGCCTCGTTGCACGTTAAGTCATACAAGTAATGCGTAATATCAATCTTGCTTGAACTAGTTAATTTCATTTCAAATCAATTTTATCTGTAAGTTTGGCACAGGCATTGCCTATTCAAGCCGATTCAAGATGGGAGGAAATGCATTTCAGATATTCATATATACAGTATGTACACAGTATGTATACAGCAGATGTAATATATGTTCAGGTATATAGCTTAAAATAAAATTCAGTTAACTAGGATATTAATATAGATTAAACACAGATTAAACATTTGATTCTCTTAACGGTGTTTGGTGATCTAAAAGAAAACAAATAAGAATAAAAAGGTCAAGTAATCAGTTATACTGTTTTCTTGACTTCAAATGTTTTTCTATTGTGTACATATTTTTTAATCATAAGTTTCAGATTACTGATACAGTGTAGCGCACTGGTTAGTTATAAACAAAAACTTGATGCTATTTTCAGATTGTGCCTTGTCAAAGGTTGATCTCATCATCATCTTAGACGCCTCCGGCAGTGTAGGAAAAGAAAACTACGATAAAATGCTGGCTTTCTGTAAGGATTTCTTGAGGAACGCCGAAATTGATTCCGGTAACGTACGCGTGGGTGCCTTGATCTATAGTGACAGGGCAGAAGTTCAGTTCAATCTTAATTCATATTCAACTAGAACGGAAGTGAACCAGGCTATCGATGAGATCCCCTACATTTCCGGGGGTACCAACACGGCTGACGCACTGATGACGATGAGGAACATGTTCAACCCCAACGACGGGGATCGTGATGGTGTTCCGAACATCTGTATCATCTTAACAGACGGTGAATCCAGCATCAATTCCCAGAGAACCGTCCCGGAAGCCGACAAGGCAAGAGATGAAGAGATCCACATCTACGCTATAGGTATCGGTCTGAGGGATACCAAAGAGTTAGACGGAATCGCCAACAAACCAGCATCGGATAACAGCTTCAACGTGC